GGTACAGCATAGGGAATATACTCAATGATACTATAATAGCATTGTATGGCAACAGATGGTAGCTACATGTGTAATAAGCATAACATAATGTATGTAGTTGTTAAATCCCTATGTTGTACACCTGAAATTAATGTAACATTGTGTGTTAACTACATTTCTATTAATAAATAAAATGATAATGGAAAACAAAAAATACTGATTGCTAGATGGCACTGCAGAACACACAAGTCAATATATCTGGGGTGAAAATATCAAACTCAACTTTCAATAATCATCCCACATGACTTTAAGCCCCTATCCAATTTGAGAGCCACTGCTCTACTGAGTTAAGTGGCTACTATGTGATTTACAGAATTCCAATTTTAACTAGTATTCTTAAACATTTATGGTCCTGGTTAGTTCTATATTATCAATTTGTAAACATCACCTAACTTGTGCATGGAAATTTTGTTTTTAATAGTATAGAAAACAAATTCATATTCATTCTCTCTCTCATCACAATAGTATAGGAGAATCAGATATATTTACCTACAGGAAATATACCTATATAATCATGCAAATATTTTATATATTTGGAATTGTTTCTTCTTAGAGGTTTACATAAGAGAAGTATAAGTTAAAAGAATTAAAAAGGGTTAAGGTGAGGGGCACTGGGTGGTTCAGTCAGTTGAGCATCCCACTCTTGATTTTGGCTCAGGTCATGATCTCAGGGTTGAGATCAAGCCCCGTGTGGGTCTCCATGCTGGGTGTGGAGCCTGCTCAAGATTCTCTCCCTCCCTCTGCCTCTCCCCACAACCACCCCTCCCACACTTGCATGTGTACTCTCTTAAAAAACAAACAAACAAACAAAAAAAAACAAAGAGCGGGGGTTAAGGTGAAAGATGTTGACATTTATTGCTGACAACAGTGAAATTCCCAAGAATGATTAAATGGTGCTCTGGTCAGCCAATTCCAATGTGAGATGTTTCCACACTATCAACAAGCAATGTTCTGGACAGCAGCTGGGTAGCCTACAATTCAACTCCATTCTGATACTATCTACCAAGAGACAGCAACATATTCCACTGGTAAAGGGCTTGCTCCCACAAGACTGCCCTCTACTTTGGATGCTAACTGTAAGCCTAGGTTGTTACCTGTGCTTCTAACCATACAGATACATAGGGTAAGGTCCTGAAAAAAGCAGCTTCTGTCCTTCTGGAATTTGGGGCCAGCATAATGGCATGTGAAAATATTCTGGAAGCTCTCTGAACTCTCTCCTCTTTGGGTTTTTAGAGGCTTCCTTACACAGAAATGATTAAATCATTGGCAACTGATTAAAATTTCGCCCCCTCACCCCCCAATGTTGGTGGGACTGAAAGTTTCAACCCTCTAATTATAGGATTGGTTTCCTTGGCAATCAGCTCCCATCCTTAGTTGCTGTCCAAAAGTCACCCCATTAACATAAACCCAGTCCTGGTAGAAAGGAGCTTGTTAGAAATAAACAAGACATGCATTTCACCTTCATGGCTCCATAAAGGTATTAAGAGACCAAATATTATGACAAAAGATGATCCTATAACTCTTACCCTCAGGAAATTACAAGAGTTTGGGAGCTGAGGGCCAAGAACTGTGGACTAAAGCCAAATATATATGAGAAATACATTCTGGTCATCTAAATGATCAAATACACAATTCTCATAAATCACAATATTGAAATGATAATGGAGAAAGAAGGGCACAATTTGCCAGATACGGTGGGTAGAAAGGAGCAAGAGCAGTTTGTGAGGCTAAGGAAGAGACAAAGAAAAAAAAAAAGATTCAAACACTGTAAGAATTATTTTAGAAAATCTTAAATTTCAGTCTTTACTACAAACATTAAGAGGACCCCAAGTTGAGACATGCTATATATACTGGCTGTGAGATACTAGAAAACACAGAAATATCTTCTTTTCTAGGAAAAAAATATGATTCTCCTGTCATATTTCCTCATCATAATATTTACCATACTCATCACTTACCATATGCCAGGCACTAGTGCTTCCAAACGCATTTTCCAACTTCTTAGGTAGGTACTATTATCCTAATTTATAAACAAAGTCTTAGAAAAAAATTAAACATCTTACCTACAGCTATATAAGTTATTAGCGGCAAAGCTGGGATGTAAGCCCAGATAAGTTATCTTCCAAATTTGTGCTCCTAATACAACATTCTGAGAGGCAACACAACGTGGATTCAGATTTTTTCCATCAAGAATCCGGAAAAGGCAAAACTCAGTGGTAAAAAGAACCCTGACTAGAGATTGGAAAACCCAGATTCTAGTCTACGATCTGCCACCTTGATTACTGATTGGTTTACCCCTCCGGATCTAAATTTTCCCACCAATAAAATGACAAGGTTGAACTACATACTAAGATACTACCCTCCTAAATTGTGAGGGAAAAATTTAACGCAAATATAGAATGGCAGCCTAAATAGAAGGAATTCACATTTTTACCAGAAACTAAATAAATGGTATAGTACAAATCTTACCTCAAATCCACACCAAACTTGGCTAAAAAGTTATTATCACCACCACAGATGAAGAAACTTAAAGAGGTGGAGGTTAATTTGCCTATAATCACCTGGCAATATGTGACAGAGCTAGGGTTGGAATTAAGGACTATTTGGTAGGCTCTTTCCTCTATTCTACATTGCCTCTTGAACTGAATCTCTATTTCCAACATCTTTCTACCTCTGAAAAGCTAGAATATCCCTAACCCACTTCATAGGATCAGTCACCATACAGTGGAGCAAGGATTAAATCTTACGGAGGCAAACAGACCAACACTTACTCCTCATTCTTTTTTTCTTTCTTTTTTTTAAGATTTTATTTATTTTAGAGGCAGAGGGAGGGGCAGAGGGAGAAAATCCCAAGCAGACTCCCCGCTGAGCATGGAGCCCAACTCTAGGCTTGATCTCATGATCCTGAGATCATGACCTGAGCGGAAACGAAGAGTCAGACGATCAACTGACTGAGCCACCCAGGCACCCTCCTATATCTTTTAAAGATTTATTTCTTTTTAGAAAAAGAAAGAGCACTGGAGCACATACACAAGCAGGGAAGGGGCAGAGAGAAACAGAGAATCTCAAGCAGACTCCCACTGAGCATGGAGCCCTACCCCAGGGTCAATGTCACAACCCTGAGATCATGACCTGAGCCTAAATTAAGAGTCCAAGACTTAACCAACTTAGCCACCTAGGTGCTCCTTCACTCCCTATTTTTAATTAAATACTTAGGGACAGGAATGGCCTAACTAGTTTATAAAGAAGGGATAATCAAGTGCCGTTTTTCATGATACTGTCACTCCATCTATGCACCTCAGAACTCAAATGCCCTATAATTCAGTGAATGCCCAAAATGTACTCAGCATCAGATATACAGTATGAGAAACTCCACTCTCCTTTCTATATGTCACTAAACTGCATTAGTCCAAAAATAAGTGTTATGGCTAGGGAATCAAGATTTTTTTCAGGGTTAGCGTAGGTTTGAAGAGCAGTCTACTTCTTTTCAATCTTTTCATAAAGTAATATATCTCAACAGAATTGAGCACTTATATACACTGTTACTAGTATTAGCAGTAATTACCCTCTAATAGCCATAAGACAACTATACCTTAATCCAGAATATAAGTACAAGGAAGAAAAAAATAAATCACATTGGTTCTATTCGTGGATTATGAAAAACTTCATCACATTTCATTCAATAAACATAAAAATGCTCAGTGTTGCTAATTAATATTTACAGTGTTTACGGTATGTCTGGCAGTTTTTAGGAGAACCACCCCATTTGTTCTTCCTAACAATTCATTAAATCTAAGACCTCTGATGTGGGCAAGAATTTCCTGTTATCACAGGTGGACTGAAAGAAAGGCAAAAGGTGAAAGTGAGGAAGCCAGGAATGTAAACCAGCCAGCTTACTCTAGAGCAAGGGAAACTCTTAGAAACTAAGCATTGGTGCCTTGGAGAGTTAGGCATTACTCTCATTTCAGAGATTGGGAAAATGAAGAGATTTAGTCTCCTATCCAGTGTCAAATGAGCTAGTGGAAAATTCACTCAGATCTTGGAGTTAATGTTCTGACTCAATCCAGTGCATTTCCCATTACACTATACTAATACTAAAACCTGACATTTGTATACATCTTCCCATTTTATAAACAATATTGCATTAAAATTTCTAACGACCCTGTGAGTGATGTATCATTCCTAATTTACAGATGAAGTAGAGAGGGATCACAAAAGGTTGGGAAATTAAATATGGCATGTTTAGAGAACCAGAATTTAAATTATGCGTTGAGAACTTGAGCAATCCAATTCAAAATTCCATAGCAGGAAAAAAAAATGTCCCCTATATTTAAGAGGCACGGGTCAGTTTCAATCCTAGTACGTCACTGTCTTCGATCATCTTAGCATATCTCCAACAACACATGCTGGAGCAGTTTATATTTCAACTTGTATTACTGTTTTAGCGAATATTATATCTCACTTTCGAGTGAGTTCCTTGTACGGACACGAGTCAACCTACCATGCATGTATGTAGTAGTCACTCAACAAATGATCAAAAAATCATACCAAACATACAGGTTAGACACTGCAGAAACGACGGATATCTACTGTTAGCCTAGATAACGGACGGGGGGGCGGGGGTTGATGTCCACTGCCCCAGGCAGTACCGTCCCTCTTTAGTTTTCGATATAAATGCAATCTCAATGAATGAAATAAAACTAATGGCGCCCTAGTAATTCAGAGTACGGAAAGAAAATAAGCAATAGAGACAAAGAGAGTGAAAGACGAAGTAGGGCCTGGAATAACTAGCATGAAAAAGTGACATGAGTAAGGGAAGCCCAGGGGCGGGCTGCTCCCTAGCCAAAGGAGAGCGCACGGGCTTGTGAAGAAAATGACGTGTCTCTTCAAAGCAGCAACGGCACCGGAGGTTGGTCCTAGCACCGCCCGCACCCCTGGCCCGGCTGAAGCGAGTCACTCACCCCGAAGACAGGCTACGTAGGGCCGCCCCCAGGGCCGCCGAGTTTCGATTCCCCAGTGTTTGCAAACGGACGGAAAACAAACCGGGTCGCCAGGGGTCACCACGGGCTTCCGGTTTCCTCGAAGACACCGCCGCTTCCCCAGAGAAGGCAGCCGCTCCGGGAACGCCTCGGAGGAATTCCCATTTCTTCAGCTGCGCCGCTAGCGGCGCAGCCCGGCCCGTCGACTGGGGCTCCGGAGGTTGTGGAAGGAGGGACAAGCCGAAGGAGAGGCCGAGCGGCTGCCGGAGAAGGCCCGTTACCCAGCAACACGCGCGCGAGACCCAGGCCCACCGGCGCCTGCCTCGTCAGCGTTCACACGGGCTGATGGCCATGTCGCGTTCCGCGGAAAGGAAGCGCTGTCGAGGGGGGTTGGAAGGGAGGACCAGCAGTGAACGGCCGGAAGTAGAGCTCCCGCGGTCCTCAGGCTGGGCTCCGAGGCCGCGCGAGCAAACCGGAAGTCGGTCGGTCTGCAGGGAGCTGAGAGGGCGTTCTCGAAGCCGGGGCTTTGAGGGGTGAGGGAAGGAGAAAGTGGGCGCGGCGTACTACGTGTCCCGTGAGTCTCCGCGGCGGGCCGGGGCCGCGGCGACGGGAGGAGCGGAGGCGGAGCTGGAGTTGGGTAAGCGCCTTAGGCCGCTGTGGGGGTTGGGTCGTTGGGGTGTTTTTCCGCCTTCTTCCAGGGCGTCCTTTTCTTTCGGCGTCCGCTTGGGGGTCCCCGAGTGTCTGTGGTGCGTTTTGGGTCCGCTCAGTAGCGCTCTTCCGTGTTTATAGCTCTGTCGCCTCGCTGTGGCCGGGAGCTTGGGAAACTAACGGCGCATTCGGGGTGGGCTGAAGGAAGCTGTTCAAGCCCCCCACCTCCGTTTTCTGGGCGCTGCTGCGAAACTTCAGGCCAGCAATTGAAACACAAGCTCGGCGAATTACTCAGGGTCCCGTAGTTATTCGGCACAGTGCTCTTTAAAAAATATCTACTTTATTGAGTTTAGGGCAAAGCTTTGGGATTTGGGGATGGTAACCGGCTGCCCTAGGGTTGCTACCGCCTTTCAGTATTTCTAGATGATAGCCCTGAGCTGTGGAGTCACGAGTAGTTGAACTCTTTACTGTCTTTGGAGGTCGCAGCCCCATGGAACCCCTCAAGCTCTAGGGCTACTTCTGATTTTTAAAAAAATAAGCGAGAAAACGGTCATTGTAGGCAGTTTATCCTCATTAACCGCCAGTTAGCAACAATGACACCCCTCGCCACCCTCTTACTTAGTACTTTGTCAACTGAAGGCTTAAATATTGTTTAAATAGGTGTTCTGTGTGAAGGTGTTTTTACATCGCGTTTTAATTCATCAGCCCACCTGTCAGCTCTGATCAAAGAATGGATTCGACTCAAGGGTTAACTTTAAAATACGTTTTTGTTGTTGTTAAGCTTCTCTTTTTGGTTTTAGTGAAAGTTCACGGCTATTACGAACAAAGACCACATGCAACTTAAAGTTACATCATATTTTTAAAAATCTAAATAATAAAATCATTTGCTTCAATTTGTCCGGCTGCGGCATGGAAGAGAGCAGTGTTTTTATTGTTTTAGACGTGAATCATTTATCTTTTGATTGCCTTGGTAAACCGCTTTGCAAATTTAAAAGACCACTAAATAGGATGTTTTCGCTAGTAGAGTTTTCAGGAATAGTCACAGAATTGGCTGAGGCACCCCAAATCATCAGAAATAAAATGATAATCTGGTTTCTAATTTGTAGATATGAAAATGTTTTCTACTTTTCAACTTTCATTCACAATTTAGAATAATTTGAGACTTGTCGAAAACGAAGGGAAATTCATTTTTATCTTTTCTCTCTGAGTAAGGAGAAAATGACTTAGCCCATTATTTTAGTTTTTCTGATAAGAGTCTGTTTTTATTTTAAAATACACACCTCTTTACTACAATTATGAAAAAGGTGGGTCTTTATTAACAAAATTATTTTATATTAAAATTATTTTCTCCCACCTCATCACACCCACAACCCCCCAAGAAAAAAAGCACATACACATGGACAAAAGGATGTAAACTACCTAAGTCATGACTTGATAAACTCTGTATATCCAAATCTGTGTGTATCCTGAAGCAACAGTCTTCAAACAGGGCAACACATGGGACGCCTGGGTGGCTCAGTCGTTAAGCATTTGCCTTCGGCTCAGGTCATGATCCCTGAGTCCTGGGATCGAGTCCCACATCGGGCTCCTTGCTCAGTGAGGAGCCTGCTTCTCCCTCTCCCTCTACTGCTCCCCCTGCTTGTGCTCTCTCTCTCTGACAAATAAATAAATAAAAATCTTTAATTAAAAAAAAAAAAAAACAGGGCAACACATATCCCTAACCCTTAACCTTAGAAGATACATGGAGGATTTCCATACATAATCCTTTACATAAAGGATAGTTTGAAGGTACTAATTCTCAGGTTGTCCACTTGCATGTTTTCTTCCCTAAAATTGATCTACCTCAGAGTGTGCCTGAATCAGACACCTCTCTCCCTTCCTCTTTGGTAATTGTCCCTCTCCTACTCTACATATATAAAGCAATACCTTTAATCTGACTAAATCTGTTTAGAAAGTGAGTGATTCTAATGACTAGGTAGCTAATTCCTTTGCAAGAATGGCGGTTTCCAAAGGCCTTCAAAAATATTGCAGGACCTGAGTTGTCATCTGACCATTAAAAATAATTTTTATGTCATACCTCTATGTGATTTTTGGTACATGGCTTAGTAATTCAAAAGAATGATTGCTGTTACAACCAGAAATCCTTCTACTCCCATATACTTGGAATGGAAGACTGCGAAATAGAAGAACAACCTAACCTGTTTCTTTCTAGCAATGAGTAGTATTCATTCTGGATACATGATCTAAATGGGTGTTGGGGGAGAAGGCCCTATCTATTTCTTTATGAGATGCATTTCCAATAAAAGCTGACCTGATATTTTCATATGATCATAATTTGTAGTATTTTTGTTATTTGATCAGTAGTAATCTAGTAATTTAATGATATCACAATATAATACTGAGGAAAATTTTTAGAACTTATGTTCTCAGGAATTTTAAAATATTTTTTTGTTGAGGGAAGTGTGATAGGATGGTCAATTTAAAATATTTTCAAACACTAAAATGTTAGGATAAATTTATGTGGGAGAAGTGAGATAAAAATATGAATTCAAGGAGAAAAGGAATGATAATCAAGTTCCGAACTGTGAAAAGAGAGCTTGCTCATGTGCTTTTCAACAGGATGAATAATAATGGTACTAAATTAGTATGGCATTTACATTTGATTTATAAAAGAGAGAGATGCTACTGTCTCTAGCAGCTAGCCTTGTTCTGGACATACAATCTGTGCTTCATAATAACTTTGATTTGAAATGCTTTGTATTCAGTCAGAATTAGCTTCTAACAGAACTTTCATTTTAAAAAAAAAAAAGTGAGTGTCATAATTGTATGCATAGTAACGAAGTGCAATGATTTTCTTTCGGAAATGTGTAGGTGAAAAAAAATTTGATAGCCCTGGAAAGCCCTAAAGTAGGGAGAAGAAGTATGAGAACAGCTAACAGAACAGCAGCAGAGAACCCAGAATGGGGTTGGTATGTTGTACAGGGAAAGAAAAAAGATCCAGTAGAGGGAATCCTACATTCTTTTTAAATGAATTAAGATCAACCCTCCTCTGAGGCTTGACAGTTAATACTCTTATTATTTGGGATATGAGTTGATTGATTTATTCAGTAATTAACAAATATTTATTTAGCACCTACCATGTGCCAGACATTGTTTTAGGCACTGAGATGAAACAGGCAAATGACTTTTTAATGTATAAGGAAATAAAATCTATCACAGGGAGATCAATCACATAAAGACCTATGTGAAATTTAACAACATGACAAGCAATTCCCTCCCATTAATTTTTTATGACAATTACTATATGTGCCTCTGAAAACTTTTTTTCTATTTAAAATGGGAAGAGAAGAAATAATTTGGAGACTTCTACATGTTCACTGTAAAAACCAAGAAGACAAAAGTTTGTTAGAGGAAAAATACTTTATAAAGCTGCCAGATAATGAAAGGATGACATTAAGCTTCTATAAGATCTGTAGAAAGAAATTAAGCTAGATTTTTAAAAATAGATTATGTAGCAAAGGAGAGGGAAAATTTCCAAGCCCATTGTACAACTCACATTATATAAAAGTGAAATTGTTAAATTTATAATTGTTGCAAAGTTAAAGACATAAGTTCCTAGTGTAGATTTTTAAATTGTGTATGTCTGAATAGTCAGTTGATTCTCTAAAAGTACAAAAAAAAGATGAGTTTTTAATCACTGATATTAATCATTTACTCTACATTTTATATTGGTTCCTTTTGGCTTTAAAAAGCTCCTCCCTCTCATCCCATAGCCAATCTGTTCACCTGGTTTTATGGATTCCACTCCTTGTCTGTCTTTCCAATCCTGTTTCATCATCCCTACTATGCTACAGTTTACTATTTGTATATTATAATAGTTTCTTCTAATTAGTTCTTTTCTTTTTTTTTTTGCTTCTAACTCATTCTTTATATAGATATCTAAATGATCTTTTCAAAATGTATATCTTACCATTACATTTCTCTCTTACACTTCTGAAATGACTCCTTAGCATGTTTTAAAAAAGCCATTATTAAACTAGCCCAGCCTGTTTTTCCACCAGCTCCTAGAAACATTGCCAGCCCCAGTCTTGAAATTGGGTATCTTTGCTCATTTATAGTTTTCATTTAGCTGACTCTGATTATGATCTTGTATATATACTTTTTTTTATCCTTGATATTATTTAAAAATTTAAAAATTCTCAGTTAATTGGGGAACCCTGGAAAGATTCTCCAACATCAGTTTGAGAATTATGGCTCTACTTACATATGTGTCTTAAAATGAAATTCCATTTTGGGGCACTTGGGTGGCTCATTTAAGTACTCTTGATTTCAGCTTAGGTCATGGAAATCTCAGCGTCCTGAGATGGAGCCCTGCTTTGGGCTTCATGCTGGGCATGGAGCCTGCTTAAGATTCTCTCTTTCCCTCTCCCTCTGCCCCTCCCCTTCTGCATGCTTGCGCACATGCGTGTTTTCTCTCTCTCTCTCTCTCTCTCTAAAGATTTATTTGAGGGCACATGTGTGAACAAGTTGGGGGAGGGAGAGAATCCTCAAGCAGACTCGCCATAGAGCATGGAGCTGATGGCTCAATCTTACGACCCATGATACCAAGGCCTGAGGAGAAACCAATAGTTGAACACC